CACCCCGTTGGGCTGCCTCCCGGCAGCAGAATCCAGATAATGGTCACTTGTGGACGGGGTTATAGCTGCAGGGCTGGAGGCAGAGGGGCCCCTTCGAGACAACGTCTCTTTCCGGTGGTGGATCAGCTTCCTAAGGGACCGGGAGATCACTGGAGCTGTCACCTCGTAACTCCCAGAGTCATCGCATGCTCCCTGTGGGATGCACGGGTCCCCCACCGCCCGGGTGCTCCCCACCTCCCCTACGTTCCACCCCACTCTGCACTACCCCCAGCCCTACCCCCGGCGCCTCCCCAGCACCCACGGAAGGACCCCACCCACTGTGCTCCCTGGGAGGCGCCCTCCGCCACCCCCCACTCACTGGAGGACTCCACGCTGCTCCAGGCTGTACTTGCCACCGTCCCGCATGGCTGCATTGTGCACGGCCTCGATGGCCCGGTCGATGGCTTGGAGGACATCCTGCTCCAGGCCCTGAGTGGGGGAGGGGGGGCAGTTAGAACCGGGGCAGACAGAGGACCCCAACAGCGGAGGCCTGGAAGGCTGGGTGTGAGAACAGACAGCTGGGCTAGAATACGACACGGGGCTCTCCAACTGCGTCACTCACTCGGCCAGGGAGCCAAGGCCTGGCCCGTGGGGGCCCCGCTCGGGATTTTGGCCCACAGGGAGGCTCTCAGCTAAGATGTCTCTGGAAACCAGGAGTCCGGAGCAAACACACAGGCCAGGACCCCCAGCCTGAGGCCAGGAGCACACACCTGCTCTATCCCCAGGCTTGACTGTCCCCGAGCTCAGGCTGAGATGCCACGCAGGGAGGCTGCCGAGTCTAGAGCCCTTCGCAAGTCACCCTGGACCCTGCTGATGGCTCACACAACCGAGGTCACATTCCAGAACAGCCCTGACCTCACAGAGCCTTCTGCAGGTCCTGGTAACTGGCCATGGGCCGAAGGGATCTCCTCTCCCTACCCCTGCTCCCAGCCCTCATCCCCCAGAGCTGGTCCAGGAATCTAGACCCACCCGGGAAAGCAGCAGTTGTGTTTGTGGCAAAGGATGAGACATGGGAACCTGTCCCAGATTCTGTTTTGTTATCCCCCGGCTACTCAGGGGCCCAGGCTACCCAGCCTGCCTGGCGTGGAGCAGGGGGCAGGGGGTGGCAGCAGTGGGACCAGCCACCTCCACCCCTTCCCTGTCCCTGACACACACGATCCATCGGGCTACACAGGAGCCTCAGAACTGAGGGGATGTCGTCACTACAGAGAGGGTTTGAAAGCTTCCGTGGTGGGGACAGACAGATGGACGCAGGGGTCAGCAAAGCCCTGCAGGTAACACGGGGCACGCCGGAGTGCAGGGAGACAGGAGCCAGGAGCCAGAAATGGGAACAGAAAGAGAAAGGCGCACACACGCACGCACACACACACACACAGGAAGAAAGACATAGAGATGGAGAGAGGGGGGTGGGGAGAGTCAGGCAAAGGGAGAAAACGCAGAAAGAAATTGAGAGCCTGAGACAGACACGGAGAGTCGGAGGCAGACAGACACACACGTAGGCAGTCAGAATGAGCGCGTTAGGGAGTCCGGGGCAGGGAGATCTGCAGAGAGAAACCAAGACACAGAGCGGAGGGTAGCCCTTCTGCCCTCCCCGAACGCCCAGCCCTGCCGGCCCTGGCCAGGGGAGGGGCCTCACAGGCCCAGGTGTACAAGCAGCAGCCTTTCCTCGGCGGCCTCCAGCAGCCCCCCCGCCCGCCCCAGAGAGCCTGGGCCTCACATGCTCGCTCCAGACCCGGCACCCCTGACGTCCGCCACTGCCCACTGTCACTCCAGGCACCAGGCCGAGGGTCCCCTGCCCAGGGCCCATTCCTCTGGGAAGACCAGAGGACACCTCCAAATTTACCCTGTCATTTCTGTCCTTAACTGGGCTGGGCCAGGATGTTTCCTGGTCTAGGGACTAGGGCGGCCGTGGGGGTGTCGGGCACTGGCCGGGCCTGGAGGCTCCGGGCCTTCTTTTCTTGTGGTCAGAAGTGACCAGCTGGTGACACTGCATCCAAGCCCCAACAGCAGGACTATTCTTGGGGAGACAGGAACTAGGGCTGTCGCCTCTGCTGGAAGGACACGGGGGCACAGCCAGACCAAGGGAAGCCATGGGGAGGTCTCACTTCCTCGCAATGGGGACAGTCCCCACTCCACACTGGGGACAAGGAGGGATGGAACTCCCTCACTTTCAAAGCAAAGGAAGTCTGGAAAGCCAGGACCTGAGACTTGGGGGAAGGGGGGAGAGTAGGGCCAGGGAGTTCTAGTTGAGCACCTTGGTTCGAAGTGGGTGGGTGGTCTTAGGCAGAGCTTAGGGAGTAGCTGAGGACAGGACAGGGGAAGACACTGAAGTCTCAGGGCTTTGGGAGTCATCTGGGGGCCAGGGGTGCCTGTGGCTCCAGGGTCCAAGTTGGGGGGCGGTGAGGACAGGGAGGATGGTTGTGCAAAGTGTCCAGGGTGGCCGGGTCTCCGCGGTGGAAGCAGTGGCTCCAACTGGGGGTCTGAGGGTGGGAGGCAAGAGTGTGGGATCCTTGGGATCCAGGAAAGGGACCGATAAGGGATCTGGGGAACTGGTCAGAATTCGGTGGGGCTGGAATCCAAGGCTGACTCTTGGATTCTATTCAGATGAGGGTTCAGACACGGGATCCCAGTGGGTCTGGGATCCCAAGGAGTCTCAGTTCCAGAGTCAGATTTTTGGTAGGTCTGAAGTCCTTAGAGTTGGCTGTCAAGGGCCAGGTGCAATGTGGAGGTGCGAGTTCTTGGGGTCCTAGTCCTGGTGGGTTTGGAAAGAAACGGGGCCATCGTCAGACCAGGGGAAGCCATGGGTCAGGTTCTCGAACTCCTTCTCGAGCCCAGCACTCCGGGGTTGGTTGTGCGAGCAGGTAACAGGGCTCAACCTAAGGGCCGCGGAGGGCCGGCTGGGACGGGGCACACTCACCTGCAGGCGGCGCAGGTAGGCGGGGGGCACGTAGCCTGTCTCGCCACTGCGCGCCCGCGCCGCCAGCCACCAGTGCGCGCTGCTGCGCTCCAGCACCAGGAAGGTCTCGCCCGCCGCGAACGCCAGCGCGTTAGGCTCCGCCGAGCGGAAGGCGTACAGCGCGCGGTACATGGGGCCGAGCCGGGCCGCGCTGGGGCAGGGTAGGCGGCGGGGGCTGTGCAACCGGGACCCAGGCCGCGAGCGCCGCACCCGCCCCACCCCGTGACACAAAACGCGTGCGCGCGCACGCCCGCTCGCCGCAGCCCCGCCCCTGAGTGTGTCGGCCCACGCACGCAAGCGCAGAGGCCCCTGGCGGTCCCAAACGCTAGAGAGTTCCCTGCCTCTTCGGTCCCGGACGGTCGGGCTCCAGGTCCCTGCCCCACCCTCCCGACGCGGACCCCTCCGGGAGCCCCAGCGTTGTCTGCCCAGTCCCCCAGTCCTTTACCCGGCTCCAGCCCGAGGGCTTAGGCACCTCGCGAAGGAGCGCTCCGCCCGCAGCCCAACGGCAGAGCCCGTGTCCTTGGCGTCCCCGCCACCCTGGAGCTGGGTAGTGAGTCCTGACGTAACAGAAAGGACGGCGACCCCGTGTTGATTGTCCCTTTGTTGTTTCACGCTGACCCGACACTTTGAGGTTCCAGCGGGGCCCGTGTCCCCTCGGTGTATTCTAGGCCTTAGGACCCCTTAAAGTGACAGCTCCGGCAGCAGACCGCGCCAGTGGTGGGCAATGGGGAAGCAAGAGTGAGGAAGGGGTCTTGAAAACAGAAGCCAGGTCGGGACATTCCCGTCCAAAGCCCTCCCGTCTTCCCTCCCCACCCCACCTCCTTTCAACAACGAGCAACTCTCTTCCTCCCTGCCCTTGTCTTCGTGTGGCCTGTTTCCTCTGCCTGGGACGCACTTCCCGCTCACAGCATCCGGACGCACAGGAATCTGTACGTTTCACATCGGTCTGTTCTATTGTCTTGACAGGAATCAGCTCCAATTCTGGTGTTCCCTTCTGGAAACAGACAGGAGGGCTGGTGGAGGGTGAGGAGTGGGTGACGTGTGGCCTTAAGAGCTTGTTTGACCCACGTACTTTACAAGTCAGCCCTGACCTGGAAAGCACTTGGAAGTCCTAGGAGGGAGGGGGGAACCCAGAGAGATCTCTGGGGATCTCTCCCCTCTCTCCAGGGACTGGTTCCGCCACATTATCCACTGGAAGCCTGGGCCCAGGGAGCAGTCTGTGGGCACAACCACACCAGTGTATGCACTTGGCCTGTTTTTGGTCGTAGTGGACAGAGGCACAGTGGGCCTTGGAGAGGTGATGCTGGGAGGTTCAGGAGAGGGGTGGGGCTGCTGAAACTGGACATCCAGACCCTGCCTTCTCAGTGCCAGGTCTGTGTCCTCCTCCCTGGTGTTTGGTTCTGCAGTTCAAACTTCCTGCCACACATCCTCCTCCCAGAAACCCTCCTAGCAAAGAGCACAGGTCACTCTCCTTGGGGCTGTCCTGGCTAAAGCTGCATGAAGGCCAAGACCGGCACAGTTGCAGTGGGGCCCAGGGCTGCATAGGAGTGGTGACAGGTGCCAGAGTGGAACCAACCAACAGACCCTTTTGAGCACCCACCTCCTGGGACCCCTCACTAGAGACCATGGCTGCCAACAGACCAGAGGCTGGTGGCTCCTTGAGGCCCCGGCACTGCTCCCTGGACCTCTGACATCACAACGTCAAGCCAATTAGCTGCTACAGGTTTGCTGCAGGTAAGCTGCATGAGAGCAGAGAAAGACCAGTACCAAGTGTAATTCTCTCCATAGGGGCTGCTGGGACACTAGGCCACCACAGACCCCACAGGAATCCGGCTAAAGTTGTATGTGTGAGGGTCCTTTTTGGGTGACCACAGGGTGCTAGTTTAGGGGACTGAGGACCACGCCATGGAGTGGAGACAGTGGCAAGGAGAATGGTGAGGAGACTTCTGCGGGTTGGAAGGGGAGTACACTGCCGGCCTTGGGCAAGAACGACAGCAGCACTGTGTACAGTTAACAAAAGGATTTGTATTAGAACATTTACACTCAGGGAAGAAAGAGGTATCTGCATCATCAAATGTGGAATGTTGAAGAAACAGTTAAAATAAATAAAGACTCCAAGCGTGGCTGGGGCTGGCCCAGGCTGGGACTCACAGAGGCCTCTGAACATCAGCTCCAGGCTGCAGAGGCCCCACTGCCAGGCCATACTGGCCACCTCCGAGACACAGCACAGCTGTGCCTGGGACACAGAGAGTCAAGTGCTGTTGCAGCCAGCAAGCTCACTCCCCACTTTCCTCATTTATCTCTGTGACAATGTCTATCAGGCTCTGGAGCCCGAAGATATAGCCAGCATCCTGGCCCTCGTGCACCACACTGTCCTCGCCATACAGCCTGCAGGTGGTGTGTGCAAAGTCGATCATGCGCACGTCCACTGAGCTGGCACCGATGGGCTTGAAGGCATAGGCACCAGCAGACTCGTCGGCTGACTCCTCTGACAGGTCCTCCAAGTCCTCAGCATCTGAGTCCAGGGCCACCTCAGGCCGCTCCTTGCCATCGTAGATGACTAGCAAGGAGCTTGAGTAGAAGCGGTAAGACTCCTGTCGCTCCAACACAGCCTTGAGCTCGGTCAGCTTCTTAAGCACTGGGCCCAGGAGCTCACGGCGCAGGTACCGCCCATTGTGGAAGAACTGGTAGAGCGCCTCCTTAAAGCCCTGCACAGACAGCTTCCGTCCGTGGTACTTGTTCATGAACATGAGCTGCCCACTGCCCGCCTGGTATACCTGTGGGAGGAAGACCAACAAGTCAGATGCTGCAGCCACCTCAAAGCCCAGACCCCGGGGAGTGGTTGGCAAGAACGGCAGGCAGCCCTGGATCAGATCCTTTGACTTGCTGACTCACAGGAGACACTGTCCTCTCCAGTCAACACTCAGTCAGGACCCAGCCCCCTGACTCGGGTTTCCCCAGCCACCTGTTCGGTATACGGTTGGTGGAGAGGACCTAACCCTCTTGCCTTTCTCTCCTGTGTCTGGACCCTGGACTCCACCAGCCAGGCCAGCCCCAAAGGGGATCACCCAGGCATGCGTGGTTTCTTTTCAAATCAGAAGTGCTCAATTTAATCAAATCTGGTATCTTTTTGGGAAAATAGGACTATGCCAGGGTGGGGGGAGTCGCAGCTACTGGGCGACCCAGCCAGCCCACACCACACCCCCTCCTCTCACCTGCATGCCACACACGCGCACACCGATGACTGCAGATGTGCTCTGCTGGCATTTTCGGATCTGGTTGGCTGCCTTCTCCTCCGAGGCATCATCGCCATGCTGGCGTGTGCCCATCTTGAGGTCCAGGACACAAGGCATCTCGTACCGGGAGGTCAGGTTCTCCAGTAAGATAAATTCTGAGCGGTTAAGGAAACCCCCCTCTAGAAGAGGTGCTGCGGCTGCATGGGTCCTTGGCACTCCCAGGGTGCAATGCCTGCACAGTGCCCAGTGCAACACAAGACCAAAGAGGGTCCCATCAGTCCTGCCATCTCCCATAAGGAGCCCAAGGCTGACTGCAGGCTAAAAGGCATCTTCAGTTCTCGTCAGGGAACCTGCCTGAGAACAGCCCGGGTCTGGACTCAACACAGGCCTTGAATGTGAACTAGGGCCCTGGCTGAGCCCTGGTCAGAGCTTGTCCCAATACATGAGGTTGCAGGTTTGATCCCCTATCAGAGCACATATAAGAATCGACAAATGAATGCATGAGTTTAAGTGGAACAAAGCAATGTCTCTCTAAAAAGCAATAAATAAAAAATAAAAAATAAATGAACTGGAAACATCAGTATGAACTCATCAAGAGTCTCTCTGTAAAATAAGTGTTATTTTCCAGCTGCATGCACTATACAGGTCTAGAAACGATGACCAGATGTTTGAGCACCCCTAGCTCCAGACCAGCACCCCTGGAGTAGGGACTGTTGAACTGTGGCCCCCTAACTCATTGTTGTATATATAATCTGTAAGCTAAGAATGGTTCTTACAATTTTAAGAGTTCAAAAAATATACATAAAATACGTCGTGGCACGTGAAAATGGACCCAAACCTCAGTGACCATGAACAGTTTCACTGGCATACAGTCGCCCTCGTTATCTAGGACTGTTTTCATGCTACAATGCCAGAGTGTGGCTTGCAAAGCCTAGAATGTCTACTTTCTGGCCCTTTACGGAAAAGGTTTACACCCCCTGCCTTAAGAGGAATAACTAAATTCTCATCTGGAGCAGGAAACCTACATGACCTGGACACCCTTCCACCTCGGAAGGGAAAAGACAGACATCTACCACAGACTGTTGTGATTACGCAGGAGCTTATTTAGAACGTCTCCCACTGTTTGCTCCCAGTCAGGGTGGCACACAGGAGCCGTTTCTCTCTCACAGTCACGTCTCTCTCCCCGCCGCTGCTTCTCCAAAATCTATATAACATATCCCCGGGTGAGGATAAAAATACAAACCCTGGCCAGGTGGCTCAACTGGCTGGAACACTGCCCCGTACCCCAAAGGGTTGCTGCGCGTTCAATCTCCAGTCTGGGCACATACCTACGTCAGGGGTGGAGCCTCGGGCCGGGTGTGTAGAGGAGGCAACCAACTGATGTTTTTCTCTCATCAACATTCTCATTCATATTCTCTCCCTCCCCCTCCCCCCCCCCCCTTTCCTCTCTAAAATCAACAAAAACATATCCTCGGGTAAGGATTTTTTTTACAGTCTTGCTCTGCCTGGCATGGCTCAGTGGATTGAACATGGACCTGCAAACTGAAAGGAAGCCAGTTTGACCCCAGTCAGGGCCATGCCTGGGCTGCAGGCCAGGGGCCCAGATGGGAGCGAACAAAAGGTAACCTATCTGCGTGTCTCTCGTACACTGATGTTTCTCTTCCTCCCTTCCTCCCTCTCTAAAATAAGTAAAATGTGCCCAGTTGGTGTGGCTCAGTGGATTGAGTGCAGGCCTGCGAACCAAAGGGCTGCTGTTTGATTCCCAGTCAGGCCACACGCCTGAGTTGCGGGCCAGGCCCCCAATAGGGGGCACGTGAGAGGTAACCACACATCAGTGTTTCTCTCCCTCTCATTCTCCCTCGTTTCCTAAAATAAAATCTTTTAGAAAATAAGTAAATTAAAAAAACAAGTAAATACATAAATAAAAGGTCTTCCACTGGCCAAACATGAGACAATTTGAGCACCAACAAAGATAAATGCAATGTCAAATATGTTTAAATTCAGATTCGTAATGATGCTAAAAAAACAAACAAACAAAACGAACAAAAAACCCCCCCACTGGTCACCCTGGCAGGGTAGCTCAGTTAGGGTATCTTGACATGCCAAGGTTGCAGGTTCAATCCCCAGGTAGGGCACATACAAGCATCAACCAGAGAATGCATCAATGAGTGGAACAAGGCAATGTTTCTCTCAAAATCAATCAAAAATAAAAACCCTCACTGGTCACTTATGGAGGATATTAAGAAACCTATCCATTATTCCAAATACATATGTGGTAAATAAAGCAAAGGTTTAACCTGACTCTCCCTCCTGGATAAACTATACCTCAGGATAAGCACACAGCTGATGAGGAAAAGTGTGTCTTGAATACATACTCAAGAAATGCTTCCTCCTCTGAGATGCTGCCATGTTGCCTTAGGACACTGGGCCTCTCCAGACCCTTCTCACTGCTACCGCCTGAGTGAGCGGTAGTGGGACAGCTGCCCCAGAACGGTATCAGGGGCCGTGAAGCCAGAATGTGTTGGATTTGATCTCCAAGCCCAAAGGTTGTCCACTGTGGCAAGGTTTTGGGACATGCACGGTGAAGTTTCCAACGTGGCGGGGTGCCTCAATGCTCCTCCATATTCAAAACACTGACCGAGAGCCTTCTCTACAAGCTTAGACTCCTTCCTCCTCAGACACTACAATACCATGAACAGCTGGCGGCAGCGCAAGGGACCCGTCCATGCCCTGTTCCAGGAACATCTGAATTGTGTAATATGTTGTCACTCGTGCCCTCCTTGCTCCAAGTCAGGTCTGATCAAGCGCCTCCTTGAGAGGAGACTCAAATGACCTGTTAAGCATAACGAACACGTAAGATCCAACCCACTGTTGGGAATCTATCCATTAATAGCAGGACCTGCGTCACAGTTAACAGGTCAATCTGCTTGTTCCCCATGGGCAGGCGGTTGAAGAGTAACCACCAGTGTCTCAAAATGTTTCTGGATTTGCAGACTATTCGCTATTACTCTGTCACTTGATCCAATGACGACACCAATCAAAAGGTCAGAGCAACGCCAGATAATTGAGGACAATTCCAGAGATGATGTAAACTTGGTGCGGGCGGCACAGTCTTCCCTTTGAGATTTGTTCCATAAAGAGTTCTTCTTTCCTTTTTTCCCCCACTAATCGGGGCAATAAGGTCAGATTCTCTCGCAAAACCAACTGAGAGAAAGTTCTCGTGCAGACCACCGCATAGGAAGCGTAAGAGCACGGGGCCCGCAATGAGCAGGTGAAATGCGGAGCAGTGTACCGGGTCGGACACTGGCTTAGTATGTCCTCCTGCTCACCAGTGTCAGGACGGGGCTCATCAACAGCGGCCGGACAGTCTCAACTTTCCACGTGAACTTACAAACTAACTACTGGATGGGGTCGCTTGAAGCCGAGTTGCTGTGTTTGCCAGTTAACGTGTATGAAAAGTTTTTCTTTATAGTAGGATTCTACCTAATGAGCGAAGGAATGACAAAATTAGAAAACGCTGAATGAAAAAAAAATAGATCAAAGGCAATGACAACACAGAAGAGAAAGACAACCAAACAGCATGTCCTGACGGTCACGGACAACACCATCTCTGAGAGGCTCTGGTTCCCACCTCCCAAAATTTAACCCGAATCTGATCGCGCCTGTAGATCAAATAATCAACTTAATGGAAACAGAGGAGATAGAGCAACACGTAAAAGACACCACAGGAACGTAATCAGTAAAATTCAGATAGTGGGAAACTCTAGAAGACCCAGTTTCTTTGGCAAGAAGTTTCCAAGAATTAAAAAAAAAAAAGAAGGGTATTTAAAAAGACTTAAAACATTTCAACCAAACGGAACACGTGCGTCTATCTCACTGGGTCTCCATCCAAAGACACTATCGATAAAAGCACACTGCCTCCGACAGCTCGGCTGGTAGAGCGCAGGACTGTGGGTGAATAAAAACGTATTTCTGAGGCATTCAGGAGATCGCGGACAGAAACTAAGGACTTCATACTAAGGAATTACTGTCCACTTTCAAGGTGTAACAATTGTGTTAATGTTTTAAAATATCCTTATCTTGCAGAGACTCGCGCTAAGCGTACAGAGTGAAACATCACACCCGACACCGGCCTCCGAAACAGCCCGGCGGTGGGGCGCAGCGTGTGTGTGACGGCCGTGACACGAGGCTGCTCATGTCGTGGCTCAGCTGCTGAATCTGGGAGAGTGGCATTTAAAGGTTCTACCCAGTCCACTTTTAAGAGGTTTAAATTTTTCCTCAATAAAATGTTAAAAATAAATAAAACACCCCTGCCTGCCTAGTGTGGCTCAGTGGACTGAGTGCCAGCCTGCGAACCAAAGGGTTGCTGGTTCAATTCCCTGTCAGGATACATGCCTGCGTTGCAGGCTGGGTCCCCAGTTTGGGGTATGGGAGAGGCAACTGATAGATGTATCTCTCACACATCAATGTTTCTCTCCCTTTCTCTCTCCCTTCTCTGTAAGAATGAATAAAATCATAAATAAATCACACTCAATTCTGAGGAACTTCCCCCCATAAGATCAAAAAAATTCTGTAACATAGCTTAATGGGTAAAAAGGGGAGAAAAAAGGACCCTGTGCTTTCTTCACATGCCCGCCTGGTCAGTCCCCGCACCCTGGCTGGCCCTTGGCAGGCAAGCACCCTTTGGGGACCCCCCCAGGAGTCCGAAACATGAACCTGCCCCTTGCACTCTAGGCTGGAAGATCCCTGGTGCAGGCTGGCCCCTTCACGAGAAGCCACTCACCCCGGAGACCCTCACCCCGCTGCCCCACCACCCGCACTCCCAGACTGGCCCCTGGCCCTGAGAAGAGTGAAGTCTGCCCACAGCTATCACGCAGCAGTGTCCCGGCTCAACCGTGACCGAAAACCCCCAACCCTTCTCTCCGAGCTCCGCAAGGCTCCTTTCCCCGCCCTCCCCAAGGCAAAGATGTCCTGTGAACAAAGGATACTGTACTGGTTCCGATGTTTTGCATTCTCCTTCATCCTCTGTAACTGTTGCTGGTGACACTTCATGCTCCAAGGGTTATAGTGTTTAAGCTGGGAACTTACATTCCCCTTTTTCTCTACATTGTAGTATAAGACTTCAGATTTCTTTAGCCATTCGAATTCTTCTCCTAACTTATGGCTATGAAGAGATAAGGAGCCAATAAATCACAGTATCTTATCAAAATTCAGGGCCAAAGAAGCACAAAGAAACTTTCTAGAGTGACAGGAAGTTTGATATCTTGATGTGGTGGTTTCATTGTACACATCAGACACTTTAAATGGGTATATTTCATTGTATACATATCATTGTATGTATATTATACCTCAATAAAGTTTTTTAATTAAGAAGCCAGTTCACTGTTTACCTAACATAAGGAGAACCTACGATGGAAGAACAGCCTTTGCCTGCTGCCCAGCCCTACAGGGCAGCGTGCACTGCCCTATTCCTCTAGGCAGTGACCCTGCTGGCTTCTGGTTCACCCAGGTTCCCTGACCAGGGAAATCTGAACTGAAATTCCATGGTTTCAGGTCAGCCTACTGAGCTACATTATATATACATACTTCAACTTACATTTTTACAAGCTCTGCCAAGGTGTGGCACGCGGAAGGCCCTGCCTAGATGGACTCCTGAGTTTCGGGGATGCCCAGCAGCCCGTGTTGTCCCCCTCTGTCAGTGAGCAACCTGAACCAGGTGGCTGTCTCGGTCACTGCTACATCCCCAGGATGCAGCATGGGGCCTGGCACAGAAGGAACGAGTGACTGAAATTCTTTTACAGCTGTCACTACAGCTGTTTACCCAAAATGGTATAATTTAATGCAGAGTCGGTTACAGAAAAGCTGGGCATGCCATGAGGAAAACTGGCCACTGAGTGAAGAGGCACCTACTAAGGCCACTGAGTGAGTCCTTAGGGTCCAGGGCACTGAGCTGTAGCTAAGATCCCCGATACCCCCCTCCCCGAGAGTCAGGTTCCCGTCCGTTCACACCCACCTCTTCATCTTCTCCTCCTTCCGGTGCTGCCGCACCCAGTCCTTGGGGCTCTTTTCTGTTTCTAGGACATGATGTTTTTTGTTTGTCCACCTTAGGAGCTTACTTTTTGGCTCACAGTCTGAATTGTCTACACTGTCCAGAGTTCCATGGTCCCCTTTTAGGGGATATGCTATTAAACACAAGTTCCTGTCTTCATCTTCTTCAAAGCGCGCAGATACCACACCTGGAAAGGGGGTGAGCAGCAGAGAGGACTTTTAATTCCACAGAGGCAGAGAGAACGTTTAATTCCACATGTGTTATAAATTACATGATTGTAACATGTGTGGGATTTTTTTCTTACCCTGTTCCTTAGTCTCTATGTTGCCAGAGGCCCCAAACTCATCTGCAAACCTAACAAATATCAAAACAGCTAGAAAAGATGACACCACACAAGACAAGTGATCAGGGAGCAAACATGGCCCAGAGTCTTCCTCCCTGATGCACTCAACAAGGCAAGAGCCAAAGAATTACAAGACACATTTTTCCATCATTGAAAATGTTTATTAATTTTTATGTAATTCTTCTAGTCCTGAGAGAGATGTAAAAACATTTGCTCTTTTTATCTTCTGGGGAATTTTATGCCCTAAACAGAAACACTGATGGCGTCAAGGCTTACTTTAAAGCAGAACCTGACCACAGGGAATACAGGTTTCCCTGAGGGGTAAGGGGCATTCAAGGGTAAAGGGAGACTGGGCAAGCAAAACAAAATAAAGGAGCAAACAAAACAAACCACACAGCACAACAGACACCCTAGCAAAGGCTTCTTGCAGCACCACCTTTCTGGCGGGCGCCCCAAGCCTTTTTGTCCTTCTCAAATGTTACTTTATTGGTCTCTTGAGGTCCCAAGTCACAAAAGAACAAAATAAACACAAGGCGAATAGGGCTGGGAGCAGGACGCGTGGTGGCCTTGGAAGCAGCTCTCTCCCCATTCCGTCTCTAGCACCTGCCATGTGTAATTTAGTCAGTCTTTGAGGAGGGGTTTGTCAAGTGGCAGCATTTCAGCAGGTGCCGACGAGCGCCTTACAACCGACTGGCTGAACACCTTTCCTCCCGGACCTCTCGGGCCCAGGATCAATTTGCTTGCCGCCCGCCCGCTGCAGGGGAATGCGTGCTCAGAGAGAGACGACACTTCTGAGGTGGTCCCCGGCTCTGGGCGCAGAGGAGCCGGGGTGGGAAATTCAGGGGACCACACTTCCCTGTGTCCATGGGAAAAGAACCAGGGGGAAAAGGGGGGCAGGGGCGGCCAGCTAACAAGGGGCCTTTGGCTTTGTCCTGGAAAAAACAACAGAGAAGGACCAAGTGAGGGCCCCCAACTCCCCACCCCACATCCCCACCGCAACACACATGCATATTCAGAATACAGAGAGAGGCACCCAGTACATTCTGTCTTCAAAGAGTGTGTTTCAACAGTCCCAGAAGAAACTAAGTTGTTCAAGAGTCTTTTGTATAACCAGGAAACGCAAATTTAAATTCATTTCCTTAATGAATTCTTTCTTGATTTACAAAGGATGCCCACCTCCCCGGGAAAGACCACACCACGCTGGTGGCTGTGGATATCCCCCCATAATGCATTACAAAAAAGAAAGAGACACCATGTGTGAATAAGGGTTGTAACATAGCAATTTCTGGGACATTCCGTAATAGCAATGGGCTTCAGCTAATCAGCACAGGCCTCCCACTCCTGCATTCCATCTGACTCGGCCCTGCTCCCAAGCCTACCTAATCACCGGGGCTTCTGGTTTTCTGGAGGACAAAAAGCAGGCAGCAAATATTCTGGGTAAAATCCTCCCAAAGTCTTCCCTCGCTGTCCCCCATGGGGTCTATGGATTACTGTGATCAAGAGACACTTGAACATAAAACACAACTACACTTCCACCAAAATCCAAAAATAAACTCGAAACAATCCACAAAACAACAGAGAATTGAGCAATCTTACCAGGGCTTGAAAACTGAGGGTGTGAGGTGCTGGGCTCAGGGCCAAGAGGAGGAGGAGGAGGGAAAACACAGAGTGAGCGGGAGGGGGTGAGGGCTCCCGGGATGGCTGCCTCGGAAGGTCACAATGCCTTGTAGGCAGGCCTGGCCTCACACCTCCTCGCCAGGCGCTGGTGACCTGCACCAGCAGCTTGGGGCTCACCTTTATACTGGGGAGTGAATTTGCGCATCTCAGCTGGGAGAGTCTCGTAGAACTGGTGCTCCCTCGGGATCAGGGGCTTGCACAGGGTTGTCTCGTTGAAGTGGAGCACACAGGAGTGCCCCCCAACCTGGTGGACGAAGGGCTCCAGCAGGACGCCCTTGGCGCGGGGCTCCACCTCCATGGCCCTGAACGCTGGGCTCATCCTCCAAGCACAGGCAGCAGGGAGAAGGGGGAGGCGTCAGAGTCCAGCGGCCAGCGAGTTCTCCGTCTGTCCTCCGTCCCTGCGTCGGTATGTCTGGCCTCCACTCCTCTGTCTCGCAGGTCAGGACGCTCTGCCAGAGGCAAACAGTGACAGGAGTTGGAAGCGGCCTGGGAACCACCTTAGAGTGTATCCCTCCTTCAGCAGCAAAACAGACTGAGCTCACCCAGGGCGCAGGCCCACTCTGCCCACTCCAGCCCCGCCTCCACCCGCAGAAACAAAGAGCCAGGGCTCTTGCGGGGCGGGGCCGGGCCGGACACCAACAAGCAGGGACTGGCTCCAGGTGCCTAAACAGCCCCTGCCTTAGACAGCCACTGAGAGCAAGCCACAATCTCAAACCTAATATTTGGATTAAATCTGACCATTTCCTAATAAAATTCTTCAACTTAAAGTAATAGATGTCCAAGTCTCTTCACATTTTTAGAAGAGTTTTAGGTTCACAGCAAAATTAAGATTTCCCATGTAACTTACCTGCTTCCATATGCCAGCCTCCCCCAGTACCAATGTCCCCCACCAGTACAGTGCATTTGTTACAAATGATGATGAACCCACAAGATCAGTTTACCTCAGGGTTTACTCTTGGTCATTACTTATGTTTTTATGAAATGCATTTAAAGGGAAAACCTGCTTACACACCATCTAGTTAAGATTTACTCTCCCCCACCCCAGGATGTCCACAAACACTACCCCTGCCGAAGGCCAAAGACATGCCTCATTAACCTTATTAGCAGTGGAGATTGGACCTAGCATTAATAATTAACGTCAGTATCTAAAAACAGATCAAGGTGAACTCCCTTTAAAAAAATACACAGCATTCTAGGTCACTGGCAACTTTTATCATTTCTATCCTGCTCTCCAAATATGGGACACACCTTTATTTTTTTTAATTTTTTAAAAAGATTTTACTCATTTATGGTTAGACAGGGGGCGGGAGGAAGAAAGAGAGGTAGAGAAACAGCAATGTGTGGTTGCCTCTCACATGCACCTCCCCACTGGGAACCTGGCCCGCAACCCAGGCATGTGCCCTGACTGGGAATCAACCGGCAACCCTCTGGTTCACAGGCCGGTGCTCAGTCCACTGAGCCACAGCAGCCAGGGCTGGGGCACACCTTTAGACCAAAGCTGCTCTCCTGGGGTATCACAGTTTTCTCCCATTCTGAGGTCCGGGGCCTTCCACCTGACTCTGCACTCCCAAACACACTGGATCTCAGCAAAGCATGCCTATATACCACTGTTAACCGTTTCAGGGCACATCAAGCTAGTTTCCTGTTTTCTGTCTGTAATTTGTGGACTACATAGTCACTGCTAGCCCTGCTTGCAGGGCTTGGGCCACACTTCACTATCTTAGGTACAGTGTTTCTCACTGGGAATTCCTCTGGCTCCCAATATGCCACCTGAGACGGTGGTGGTAAAGATGGTCGGAGGGAGATGTGCCCACTGATGGAGATGGAATGTATTAGGTTACGTGCCAGGTTCAATGCGGGAACATACTTCACTTAGTCCTCATGATGCTTTCTAAGAGGCAGAAACTACTCTCTGTTGCAAACAATGAGCCTGATCTGGGGAGGTGAAGACTAATCCAGAGCAAGAGACAAGAAGCCACAGTTCCCAAATGAACCTCAATCTGTTGGACGTTCCCACATGGCTGCTGTTGTAGGGCTCAGAGTCTCTGCCTTGGTGTGCACTCCCACACACTTGGGAAATCATTTAGTTTGTCCTATGAGAGTCCTTTCACCACATATTTATAAAACACAGTCATCAACCACCTAACAACAAGGGTACGTTCTGAGAAATGCATCATCAGTTGTTTTTTTCATGGACTGAACACCAGAGTGCACCTACACAAACCTAGATACATGGTATAGCCTATCGCTCCTAGGTACAAGCCTGTACTGAATGTTACTGTACAAAACAACATGAGATTAAATCAAGCACAAGGAAAACTGATGCAATCAAGAGGCGCAGTAAACACAAGGTGTATTACGCTGCTGCCAGCATACCACACATACCTTTTACAGCAAACCTTTGTTTTTCTAATAATTAGAAAGAGTACACTCTGAAATAATAATAGTAAATACATAAATCAGTGCTCTGACTGGTATGGCTCAGTGGGTTGAGTGTTGTCCCACAAACTGAAAGGTTGCCAGTTCAATTCCTGATCAGGGCCCGGCCAAGGCACATGCCTGGATTTCAGGTCAGGTCCCTGGTTGGGGGCGTTCAATAGGCAATTGATTTCTCTTGCACAATGATGCTTCTCTCCCTCTCCTTCTCCCTCCCTCTAAAAATAAATAAAATCTTTAAAATATAAACCAGTGACACAGTTGTTTATCACCATTATCACGTATTAGGCACTATACATAATTGTATGTGCTATACTTTTATACAGCCGGCAGTGCCACAAACATGTGAGTAATGTGTTGTGCTACCACATTAACACAGTCGTTAGGTAATAGGAATTTTTCAGCTCTGTTATAACCTTATGGGACAGCCATGCTATATCTGGTTCATTGCTGACTGAGCCACAATGTCGTTATTGTGGCACATGACTACAGCCTTTTTTAACAAGTTTAAACTGGTGTTCATTTCCTCCTTTCAGAGAGAACCAACTGTGGGCCCTAAAGGGATTCAAGAATTAGAAATCAGTAAGCTTCTCTATATGCAAAGAGCAGAAAACCAAAGCTCCCGATTTCTTACCTGGCCCTACCTTCTCAGGATCAGAGAAGCTCGCTGGAGGGCATGTGCTAAGAAGAGTCCTAAGAGACCACACAGGCAATCAGCTCTAGAACATCCCAGTCATTCCAGACTCTCTCCATAAGGTGGAGCTCTGAGATGCTGGGCCACATAAGCCCCATTCTCTAGGTCTACGGAGCCCAGTTCACACTCATCTAACTGAAGAGACCTCTTGAGTAGAAGCAATGCCAAAAGAAACCTACTGACTGACTCATGGTCAGCCTTCTAGTGCCCAAGCACAAACCAGGTACCATAATGATTAAATTCTGAAAGTACAAGGCACTCCTCATGGGCCAGGCTTTAGAAACATAATCCAAATCTTTCATAAAAATGTGTAAAACTGCTTTTGTTATCTGAGCTAACAATACAAATCCCATTCCAGCTCTGTTCAAGATTCCTAAATGTATTCAATTAAACAGAGAAATCTCTTTCCAGGCATCTCTTCTCCATTCCCATCTCCAATGACAAATCTAAAACAAAAACTAGTCCCTCATGGCAGCTCCCTCTGGGGGCAGCACACCCTCACAGGTGTGCCCGGAGGCTGAAAGGCCCGGTTAGGGTCCCCACCTCCTCCTCCCAGGTCCCCACTGCGGTCATTAGCTGCTGGGTATGGTGCGGCACTTCGCCACACTCCCCTCAGCACCCAGCTCTGGCAGTCCACAGGGCACTGACCCCCGGAGAAGAATCATTATCTTGAGTAGAGAAGCAAGAAAAATGAGGCTCATTCTCACCCGAGCCAAGTCTGATGACAGAGGAAACTCACAAATGCCAGGCAAAATTACCCTGTAGTGAGGTGGGGCCGCATTGTGGCCCCAGATCTGTGACTTAATTACTTGTCCCTGGCTCCTTTTAAGTTTTATCATCTGTTTTCTGGTCTGTAAAATAGAGAGGGGAGGCCTAGAGTATAATCTCTATTCTGTGGGCTGTTATCAAATTAATGTTTTAAACAAGAAGGGGGAAAAAAAACAGTGAAAAAGAAGTCATGTGAGAACTAAAAAAAAAGGAAAAACAAGTAACTATCGATGCACTGCACATAGTAAGGTGAGTCGTTTTGCACTTCGTTCATCTCAGGTACGCTCAATCTTCCAACACGAACACAAGCGTGGCTTCACCAGGACGTGTTTCCCACACTCGGGACGGCAGACCAAGGAGCAGGGCTTCTGCGCCCGTGCCCTCAGACCCTCTCCCTGTAGGGAAATGAAGGAATGACTTCCCTAGGAGCCTCAAAAGAAAAGTACCCAAAGCACCTGCTCTATTTCACCCCCTTCTCTCTCTCTCTCTGTTCCACAGCAGTCTGAGCAGCAGGACCTCTTAATGGTTTCCAAAACTGAGGTCTACAGCTCAGCTTCCCAAGAATCCTGCCAAGTCCATGAAATGAATGGACACTGCACCTAGGAAGACAGGGAACACCATAAAACGCTGGCTTCAGATTTAGTGTCTATTTTAGGTTCCTGTATTGCCTCACACATTTGTCCATGAAACTAGGAACAGTGCAGGAACACAGAGCAGGGTTCATCCTGGGCAAGGACACAGCTTTCCCTCACAGCCCACATCCCCGAATCTATCATATTGGTTTAAGAATCTGCTGGAAACAACACCCATTATTCTTAACTTTTAAAATACTACAAATAAAACAGCCACAACTCATGAGAGCCTCTGGGCCCTTATCTCACACATCTAGAATTTAGTTAATGAGGCTACAAACGGGACCCGCCGGGGCGGCTTACTCTGCCTGACGACAAGCCCCAAGTTCAGGCAGTCACAGGGGACGGTGAGGGGCGCACTAGCCCGCGGGAGAAACAGCCCTTTCCACCCACACCTCCGCTATCTGAGCTCTCCCCGCGCCCCTGGGCCACGCCTGGCATCTGCACACACCCACACACGCCACGCAAGCCCACCGCAAGGGTCAGTCCCTGGCGCTCTCAAACCACTGGGAGAAATAGAAAGATACAACCACTTTGGAAAACAGTTTGGCAGTTTCTCATAAAGTTAAGCATATACTTATTATATGACCCAGCAACCTTACTCATAGGTATTTACCTAAGAGAAATAAAAACAAATGTCTACACAAAGACTTGTACACAACTGTTCATAGCAGCGCTATTCACAACAGCCAAAAGGAAAAACCCAAATGTTATCATAGGTGAACAAATAAACAAATTGCAGTGTAGCTGTACAATGGAACGGAACATTCATGAAAAATAATGTATTGATACATGTAAACAAAGATCTGACACAAAAGCATTATGGTAACTGGAAGAAGTCACAAAGGATACACTGCATAATTACATCTATATGAAATTCTATAATAAAGCAGAACTATAGTATCATATATTCAGCTGC